TATATCAGGGTGCCCTCGAGTCGTGTTTTCGGCGTCGAACCGCCGGTAAAACAAGTGTCCTATTCCGGTGAGAATTCACCCAGGGTCGATAAATTTTTTCAGTGGCTCCTGGAACTTCGCGTCAACAGCCGCATGCACATCCGCCAGAAGTGCAATACGTAACATATGACGAATATGCGGAACAAGACTTGTTGTTTCATCAAGGAGAGGTGAGAACTCGTTTGTTTTCTTGCGGTTCGAATGGTTTAAAAGCGGATCGACCTGAGCTTCGCCCGGAAAGCTAGAGGGGGTACTTATTTTGGCACATCCAGTAGTTTCTGATCGGTTCAAGTTTTACACTTTACGGTTTCTTATTTTTAGGTTGTCAATGAAGAGACGATATCTACCACCGGCACCTACACAAATATGCAAGCTCCTCCGGAGTTCTGCTATGTGACGGAGACGATACCCGATTTTCATCCAACCCAACAATTATCACATTGGAAAGACGGGCCACCAAATAACGGTTAGATGTAAATATTTGATCAGAATTTGTATAAAAGTCTTTCTCAGCTTTTTGTCGACGGTTTTGACATTTTATTCCTTAAGAGACGTCACTTTTCCTTAAAATGCACTTGTTTAGTGTTGGCCATGACGGTCAGCCATGCATCGTATTTCTCGTATAAGAATTCGTGGAATACGACTAGCACATATAAGTTGGCGCTAAAATAGGGTATAATTAAACGGTGGTTCCTTACCAAACGGGAGTTAGAAGAGTTATTACAAGAAATATACTAAACCAGGCTGCTTTCGCTGCGGTTGAACATATGATGAGAATCCCTAAAAGTAAATGGATTTGACCTGCATCCACGTTTGGAGCGCACCTGCCAATAATAAGAATAATACTCCCAAATGGACCATGAGGTGAAAGAGCTGTGGCAGGAGTAGTGCCGGGCGAACGAGCTGACTTATTTTAGGTTTTCTTGCTGTTTTCTTACCTGGATACCAACGATCGTCAAAATGATCGTGATAAAATGCGTTACATGGATCAGTATCCATGTTGTAAAAAAGATTTTGTAGTAGAACCAATATAATGATGGATCACTACGACGTAGGTACTGGAAAAGGGCGATGCGTGATTTAAAAAAAATGATTTTTCTGGAACTTCACGGTTTAATGTGTCCGGTAACGGTAAAATTATACAAAAGCCTATTTAGAAAGCCAAAAACATACGTTTTTACCACATTTGAAAATTTTAGACAGTTTTTTGAGATTTCTAAACAGATTTTCACTTTGAATATAACGGAATTTTACTAAAAAGGTGTAACGGTTTGGCTTAAATGAATAAATAAATCGGAAAAACAACTCTGGTGGTCTTGTTTCAAGATACCCACGGCTAAATATTGACGGTAGATGCTCAGCCATTCATGCCATTCCGGCCAGATGAGGGCCATCGTCCCAACTGACATCGCTACGATGCAGAGGAATATTGAAATACCGCAGAATATATAGGTCCAGCTCTAAATCCGTGAAAAATAAAGAAAATTGAGCATTTCGAATTATTTTAGGTTCACTTCTCGTTCCTCTTTTTTTCTCTTTCATAGCGTTGTCACAAAGCAATCGACAAACCTGTATATGAACGGAGCACCTTTTAAAGCGCTCATTCTCGCTGTCGCTATCTTCTAACCCAATCGGAGTCTGAAGCATGGATTCTGGAGCTTTATGGAATATTCGGTACTCTGTGTAGTGAATGTGAATATGACAGCTGATGGACTTGGGGGTCCCTCTAGAGATGTCCGCACCTGGGGCCCCCTTCTTGCTCAAGGGCTATCGATTGCTAGGATTAGCTCCGATCTCACTGGGCCCCTCTTGCTCACCCGATGCTTGGGGAGAGCTCGTGCTCACTTGGAAACAACGGAGCGTTGTTGGTTTGTTATGCATAACATTTTTGATAAGAGGGTTTTTTTTGATTTTTGGAGTTTTCAATACCAGAATAGCATGAGATTGTTATAGTATATAATAAACCGTAAAAACGAAATTATTGCTTTAGAAGAACAAAAAAAGCCTTTAAAAATCATTAAAGGATCTGTAAAAATAAAAGTAATATTTTTGTCTAACTTTATATGTTATATTTATCTGTAATATGCATTATTAAACAGCTTTATAAAGAACTTTATTCAAATGGTGTTGTTAAGGATATTTAATGGTTATTATCGCGGGTGAATAATTTATAGCTGTGAAAGTGGGCGGGTATCGAAGAAGAAGGTGAAGTACGGAGGGGGAAGGGGGTTGTACCGTTATATTGGGCTTATTTCTGGACACATTCAGTTATTAGGCACCGGCAGTTTAGATAACGAGAATGAATGCATGATGGCGGAAGTGGGCATATCCAGCAAAAAGCCAAAAATTAGAACTGAATTTTTGTGGACAGCCACGCTTCCGATATGAAAATAAGTTACAAGAGTCGAGTGAAGTGGAGGGTCGATATAGAATACATTAGAATTATAACTTAAAAAAATTGGGAGTGGGGGAATAATAGCTGGGATTTATTTCCTGTAAGTAGAGAAATTACTGTGTGGGGGAAAGGCACAAAAATGCAGCTGGACTCTATGGAGGCACGGAGTGGTTGTTGTTTTGATTGGAAATGAAAATCAAGGGGAAAGGATTTGTGTTGTTTGTTTCACGGGGGCTGTGCAGTCGGGAGAAGCAACAAAAAGCTGAATGGGGAGGGGCACCGGTGACTTTGAACTTCCAAGAATATTCGCCAGTAAAGTCAAATCGACCGGAATAAAAAGGGTACGTGCAGGCTAACAATTAAAGGGCTAAAACTAGTCGAGGGATACTATTCAAAATAATATAGGCTGGCGATGAAAGCTAGACATTCACCCATGTAGTCTGTACATGGAACTAGCGAGGTGACGATGGGCTCTAAGAAAGGATAGCGACTGAGGGGGAGATAAGCACAAAAACACAGCAAAATGCAGTACATTGATGGATGGGATGTGCTCTATTGGGATGGATTGGAGAGCTGCGCGAATACCGGAAGACGACCGGGTTTTTCGGGTCTCTCTTCGACAGACCAGGCAACAATGTCTTCGAGCAGGGCACCCATACGACTGTCATCTTTCTCCTCTTCGGCCTTTGTCGTCGTTGATGAAGATGAGGTCGGACTCGTTCTACAATTTCAGTTTCAAATTCTATCGAACGCTTTCTACCCAGGGAAATGATCCGTGAATCCGCCCTGTCCGGGGAGGAAACGCTGAGGCGCCAGGTGATGAGCGGCAAGATGGGGCATCATGTACCCTCCGTATGGGAGCATGCGGCTCGTCTGACTGAGGCCTGCAACGATTTGTAAATTACTTTTCAAGCTCGTTCTTACCAAAGGCAGCTGCCAACGGGTTCAAGCACGCCTCATCGAGGTCGAGACCCGGTGAGAAGGAGCCAGCGGGCGATTCTGAGCCGCTGTCGGCATTTGAGCTCGATGGGCTTTCGCCGGCGGATCCGTAACCCGTTTGTGAGAGATGGCTGAGGAGTGGTGAGCCCGAAGAGAGTAGCGACTTAAGTAAATATTTTAATTATTATTTTTATGTTTTTGACAACAAGGCATTAGTGGGTAAATCCAAACCTGTCCGAGTAGTTGGTTGGGCGGGGCGATGGGCAGCGGTGTCAAGTTGTTCAAATTAGCGCGCAGGTTCACCTCACGGTCCCGTTGATGGTGTTGGAGCTCGGTCTCACTGAAATTTTTTATAAAATCAGGCCGGAAGTCTCAGAACGTTAGGTACAATTTATAACATGAAGCTGACTTTAGACTAGAATAGTTAGTTTTAAGATACAAATTTGCTCGACAAAATCCACCTGTGAATGAAGTGACACCGATGTCCATAGGGGCAGTATCCGGTTTTGTGGAACGACTGGCACATCTCGGTTTTGTACTTGGGATGTCTGGGTACATAGCGCTTCTCGTGCTCGCCGTGCGCGTATTGGCACCTAAAAGTGCTCAAATTATTGTTTTATTCGGGAATCTCGTACCGTTCGCCATAGTTGCAGCGTCCCTGCTCCATCCACGTTCGACACATCTCGGTTTTGTAGAGTTTCGGGTTTTTCGGTGCCGCTTGCGCGTTCGCTGTTTGAAGGGGAGTAGCTGAAAAATGAGTATGAGGAGGGTAGACGAATATGAAAATTTGAGGGTGATGAAAATATAGAAAAAAACCCCTACCAATTGGAGCTCCTGGTGCACCAGGAGAAGCCACAGTATAGGTCATACCTCGTCGAGCCGCTACCACCCCACCGGTGGCACTAAAAAAAAAGAATATTGATACCAGCATTACTAGGAGTTCCAGAGTTTGATATAAACTAGAAACCTACCGGCTGTGGGGCGATTGAGGCATCTGTTTTAGGGGAACTCCGGTCAATTCGGAGATCGTCAATGGTACTGGGTCGAAGGGCGTCGTGGTGGCAGTGTTCGTTGCTAAATTAAAATTGAAAATTCAATTCTAAATTAAACGTAAAATTAAAAAAATTTACACTACGAGTACTAACTTACTTTTCAGGTTTGCCAATACGGAAAGCCCGGAGAATGGGTTGTCTGAGTGGAGAGCCTGTAATGTTGATGGTTGTTTGGGCTCGGGGGTCCGGGATTCCGGTGGTATACTACGAGCATGTCACAACTACTGCCCACACCCAATACCGCTAATGATTCGAGACCACGCGACTTTGGGATTTATGGGTGTGGAGTGGGGCCTATAGCCACCCCGCCCAAGCTCTGTACCCCGCACCTTATTGTCGATTTGTGCTCCAATGTCTGACGATTGAAGCTGTGGCACGAGCGAAGAGAAGAGGCTCTGAAATAATGGAATTATTATAGGGTCGACGGGTGACGCGACAATAGCGGTTCAATTCGCAGAAGCTGAGTCAGAGCAATCGCAATAGGCTTTTTTGGTCCATTTCGACTAGATGATATGGATCGAGAGTTCCGGTTTTTTTGAGTGCCCTGCTGGAGAAGGGGGAGGATGGGCCTGATTGGAAGAAATTGAATCGAGACTCGAATGCGGTGGGTGTTCGCGGCGAAATGGCCCCAAGGGAGAGGCTTTGGGTACTAGGCCAAGTAGTTCTTTGGAGGTTTGCTACAACTTTTGGGATTCCTATCCGGCAATGCACCAAATCCAGGGTTAACCCAATGAAACGGAAGTGCGACACAACATCAAGCAAAACCAGATTCCCGGGGCGCATCCGGCATCCGCGAATCGGTGCCCGGGCTAATTGGGCGTATTTGGGAGGGGTTGCCCGGGTCAGAATGGCCCCGGTTGCCGGTAGAATGGGGCGCCGAATAGGGGAGAAAGGGAGAGGACAAAGGGAATTCGCATTCACCCAAATTTGTCAACATTTTTCGGATGTGGCAGGTCGGGTGGGGGGGGGGGGTGTGTTCGGTTTTGGGGTCGGTTTTCGAAACCTGAAGTTTGGATTCGTGATTTAACGGGGATAGGGAGGATACGAATTTATACGAAAAGAGACAAACTGTTAGATAAGGATAGTATTCACAAAAGAGGTGCAGCCCCTAGAAAGAAGTACAAAAGCAACCCAAATGCACCTTTCCACCTTAAAGTTCGTAAAGCATAAATATTTTGTTAAAGCTACAAAAACGTTCTGAACTCTCTGCGCTGGTCAAAACACCCGCTCTAGCCTTCCCCCCGGACCACACAACGATTTTGTGGTTGCTCCGAGGTGGCGACGAAGTTTTTACCTATAATTCAGCCACACACGCACATATATGTATTTGTGTATGTCTATCCGGCAAGCGCCCCCAATTAGAGTGACGGTGGGGGGCTCAGGGTAATTATCAAGGCCCCCCAACAGCCACCGTCACCTATAGGGAGGGGGGCAATACACGGAGACGGTGGACCCTATGAAATGTGCATAAAGTAAGTGAGAATTTCCGGCGAGCGAGAAAAAGGAATGGTAGGGCGAAATACTGGAGGTGGGGTGGGGGTGGTTTTTTGGGGGGTTGAATAGGACGCGGGGGGATGGGGTCGAGTCAGCTGATCGGGTCCAATAATGGCAGGGAGAGAAAGGTCTGAAAAATGGGAATTTCCGGAAAAACATACCTTAAATTAACCAAAAAAAATAAAATAGATACTATGAAAGTAATTCTCTTCTTTTTTTGACACACTTCAAAAATTTAACCGCTTTTGGCCCAAAAATTCAAAAAGATTCGACATTTTTATAATTTTTCATAGACTTTTTCCTATTGAAAAACTGTGTAAAAAGCAAATAAAATGGTTTCTATTTATTTTGGGCATAAGGACGCATGGAATTACGGGAAAATTTTGGTTTTCCCCAGCTAAAAACCCTCCCCCCACCGCTAACAGACCAACACCGACAATTTTGGCATGACAAAATATAGAACCAGGATATTTCATATAAATACTATTATTTATTCGATCCACAAATCCCCAGCCTAAAATCCCATTTCCCAATGCAAAACACATCTCCAACGCTGTCGAATCGAGGGCCCGTTTGAATGTAACGAATTGCCCCGGCCCGGGGCGGCCTAGTCAGTCCAGCAATAGGCGACTCAAATCCCCGGGGCGCAATTTTATGGTATATTCGCAGGTATTGAGGGGGGAGTTGGAGGGTGGGTAAATGAGTCCACTTCAAGCCTCAACCCCCAGCCTTTCACTTTGGGGCCCAGGCTCCAGGATTTATGATTTGTCTCCTGGAAACCGGGGGTGGGTCCCGGGGAATTGCAGAGCGGATATATACAGAAATATATGGGCACTGTGACGTAACAAAAATTAAGAGAAATGGAAGATACCAGGGCTGCAAATCGCTAGGTCTGAGGGCTAGGAAAGTATTCATCCTACATCTTCCTGCCGCAAAAAAAAATAAAAAATAAGAAACAAGCCTAGATACGGCAGATTAATAAGTCCTTTTCAGAACTATAGGAGCTGTATAGTACGCAATTCCATTTTGACGGTTTTGGTACGGGATATGCGAGTTGGTGTGGCGCGAGGTGGGTGAGCTGTTTACGTGCACTATGCTGTGCCCCCGCTCCGTCCACACGTGGGTCGGGAAGGGGGCTCTCCCCGGCCTCCTTTCAGCCATCGGTGAAAAACAAATTCCGAAAAACAACACCGAACACCCAGGGGGGGAGGTCTAGTATGGTCCCCTGCGCGAGAAAGGTTGGATCCGTTAATTTTAGTATTAATTTTGGCACCTTATTTCAGCAAAAAATCATAGTAGTAGAGGTAATTGCTGTAAGTATTTAAACTTTTTTCCGCGGGCGAAGTTAAAAATACAAGCATTAAGGCATTAAGGAAAGGTTGGGCCGTAGGTTTTCGAGAGTGTCTGAGAAATGAGTCCAGTTTTGGCCGCGTAAAACTAATTCTAAAGGGACCGGCAAGGCATTACGTACCGCGGGGCGACACGCAACGCAAAAGCCTACTTTTCTTTGCGTGATTGGTTTCAGAATCGTCCTTCCCTTAGAATTGACCCGAAAGGCCATGCCTTTTGTTTCTCGATTCAGTTAAATCAGTAGCATTGCCTTGCCCATCTCCTTGAAATTCTATTCTAGCCCTGAAAATATTCTTGACGACCCATTAACTCCCCTCAAAAATCGAAAAATTGTTGCTGATCGGCTAGGGCTGGCAGTGAGCCAGTTCAGCGAGGCCAGACGGAGCCGAGTCTCGTGCCCGATTTATCGTTTACCCCCTCGCCATCCATCCCTGGGTCCTCTTACTCTTTCCCCGAAAGACTGTGGCCTCTCGCCTACCCGCTCCCCGCCATCTCCCCTTTTCAGTTGCGGCTTCTTTCCCTCTTTCTATCTCTCTCTCCCATCTAGTGCCTAGACCGGGCAAACAGAGTTGAACCCGGGCCAAGTGGGAGCCCCCAGCCACACGAAAAACGTCGAAAAGTGATCTCACCCCCGCCCCGATCGCTAGGCACCGATCAGATCGGGCGGCTGGCGGAGAGATGCCATTTTTGGCCTGTCGGGATTTCAATGGTGAATGTGTGCAAATGTGATGGGTTTTTGGGGTTAAATGGAAAATGTAAGCACCTACAAAAATAGATTTTCAAAGATGTTATAGATATTTCTGCCTTACAAATTCTAACCTCTTAAAAACTAATTCTCTGAAAACGAAAGCAAGATAACGAACTACGGTGGAAGTGTCGAGTACACAGCAGTACTATGCACACTTTTGATTCTCACAGAGTAAAGCTAGCGACGGCCACGTTGTCAATCTCGTCAAAATGAGAACATATTGGCATACGATGCACAGTTTGGCACATTGCTCGCATCACGAGTCCTAGATACTAGCCACAATATTACAGCTATACCCCGAGTTCTAGCCTTCAAAATGAGAGTTTGAATCCAGAATAGAGCCGGGGTATGAATGAAAAGTGCAGTTGCACGTTGGCTTAGTTTGGACTCGTGTTGCGGGGAAGAGTAGAACACAACAACTAGTCGACGGATGGAGGGGGCCAAAAGGGCAGTCCGTGTAATGTGAAAGAGAGAGAACGAGGGAGAGAGAGTCGGTAAAAAGGGGATGACGGGGCAACAAAACAACCATAAAGGGACACACACCGGTCAACACGCGAGCCAGAGCTCAGGCTAATTCGGGAGAGACCTTCCTTTAATCTCCAAAGGGGTTGGGAGGTTCTGAGTTAGGTTGAAAGCTGGTTTAAAGGGCTTTGGAAGTCAAAATTTGGATGTAAGAGGAGCGAGCCTATTGGCCACAAATTAAAGGAGTGCCACCTAAAGGCTTAAGGAAACTATTTTATAGCGAAAATAGTATGTTTTATGATGTTAAAGAAAATTTATATTTATGTTCTAGATAATATTTGAGCAAGAGTGGATCCATCCTGACATTATATGTTTTCGGGAAGAAGGAATAATACTTGGACATTGTTGGGTTGGCCCCACCCGGGTCCCTAATCAACAAGCCCCCAAACCATCGTGGATGCATGGCCCAATTGTAGCCATCATGTCACACTTGCCCATCATTCCCCCACCCAACCCGAAAAAGGAATGACGGCGCATCATTATGGAATTCTAAATACGCCCGACAACACCATAAAACACTCGGCTACATCCATATAACCCCGCCTTGACTGTTGGCCCACTTCCTGCCCTCCCAAATTCGATCTGAATGACCCGTCGACGGGTGGAGTCACCCGAAAGAAGGGATTCCCAAGGGGGATTTCTGCGAATTACCGTCAGAGCCATGTCCCCCTTTTCCGCTTCTTGCCGCTAACACATCACAAATATATCCCATTAGCTGGGCGGCCGATGCGGGGTTGCCAGTTGGTCATCTGTTTTGCGTATTGGTATGTAGCCCCTGGGCTTACTGGCGTTTTAAAGGGACTAGGAAGTGGTCAAAATTCGTAATTTATTTTTTTTTACAAAACTGTAGAGATACTCTTAAATAACGCCCAAATTTCGTCCACTCCCCCAGTGGATTCCTGCTAGACACCTCGAAACCACTAGACCGGCTGATCAGGGGGCTGTAGAGTGAAAGCACGCGGACCCTATGGCCCATAAATTCGCGAGGGCAACTGTCCGTTGGCAGGGCGGAGGCCAATCTAAAGCATCCCGTCTAGCTAACATAAATACACGCAACCAAAACGGGCACGGAATTGCACAGCGTTAGTCCAGGGTTGCTATCGCGCCCCAGCGACAGTACCCAGCCGAGCCTTTTCGGGGTCTCTTCCTCTCATCTTTCAACGCGTAATTGGACACAAAACCCAAGGAAACCGAGAATAGATGAAAAAATAAAACTAATTGATTGTATGAAGAAAGTTTGGGAGGTTTAGATCTTGATACTGACTGTTTTGCTGCCTTTCATACTCATAAGATTGAAATTTGCACACAATGGCGCAAGTGCCGGGTTATTTTGACGACGATGTTGCTTTTTTGCCAGAGCCCACAAAAAAACAACGTCGCGTGCGTATATCAATTATCTTGTGACTATTATTCACATTCAGCTTTTAATTGACGGATCCTTGTCGACCGACTACAGGGTTAGGCGGCTTTGCTTTGAGCAAGAGTTTGACTTAATCTCTCGCTATTGTATTGGTGCGTTTATGACATACTAGCTGATTCTGCGCATTTGTTTCAGGCTTTTCATCTTGACTTCATCAGCACAGTAGAGCAGCAACGTTTTTAGTAGCCAAGCAATGTCTAGCTCATCAGGCAAAGTCAGCCGGCTTTCCAACTTGATAATATGGATGTGTAAATTAACTTTGTAATAATTACTACACTGGTTCCGTCAGAATTTTAGCGATGTCGATGCCGTTTTCCGATGCGAGGAAGGCAAATTTTTTTAACGTAAGGAAAGCCTCAAACGATGTTTAAGCTGTAAGTTTATGTAAAAAGCTAAGCTAGCTTGAGCCCTGCTTTAGTATCACCAAGTGTAAGCCTTGCTTAACCCACCTTATGTGGGCTGTACGCGAAGCTCGTCAACTAACCAGTTTTTGAGACAGAGCGGTATATTAAAGCTAATGTCCGCTGCTACGCCAGTTAAACAGATTAAAGCCAAGCTAAGCCTATTCTTCAATTAAAAAGTCAAGTAATTTCAGCAAAACGCCTAGTAAGCTTCTACTTTCAAGCTTCAGCTTCTTTTCATTTATACAGTTTACAGTTTTGGAGCTAATAGCACAATAGCAGGCTTTGAACATAACTTAATGATAAAAGCCATACTACCTTCGAAAAACCATGTGCTCAAAACGGTGAATAATGCAGATATTACGGCCCCGACAAAGCTCCATTCTTCTATAAAGAAAAATGGTCGTCAAAATAACCCAGCACTTGCGCCATTGTGTGAATTTCAATCTTATGAGTATGAAAGGCAGCAAAACAGTCAGTATCAAGATCTAAACCTCCCAAACTTTCTTCATACAATCAATTAGTTTTATTTTTTCACCTATTCTCGGTTTCCTTGGGTTTTGTGTCCAATTACGCGTTGAAAGATGAGAGGAAGAGACCCCGAAAAGAGCTCGGCTGGAGTACTGTCGCTGGGGCGCGCCGCAACCTGGACTAACGCTCCGTGCCCGTCAACCAAATGGGTAGGAGCGTTGGTCAGAAATCAGGTCGAGGTTTGTGGTTTTGGTAAAACTGGACCCAGAGCCGAGATACTCGCCCATCGGCCCCGCTACTGGGCAATGTATGCGCGCCAAGTGCGACCCCATAAAGTGGTGCAAGACGATCGGGCGGGTTGGGATGAGAAAGGACCCAACAAGGGCCATGGCCTCATAAAAATGGAAGATGGGCATGGGGAGAGGACTCGGAGATATGGGCATGAGGTCCATATGCAGCTATCGGCTCATTAACAATGTTGTGTGTGTAAGTACTGGAATGGAACAAGATATAGGGTTTTGTCTTGATAGGTCCTTTAAAGCGTATGCTTAAGGGCGTGTTATCTAGATGCCCAATTATCTGGAGCGTTAAGGCGAAAAGAGAGATTCAGACATAAATAGGCGCCTGTGTAGTGGGCTTTAAAGACAACAGGACTGACCACCTATACCACGCAAAATACAACCTATAGAACGCAATTTACAGCCTACGCTAGACACCCATTTACAAACGCGTATACGAGGCGGACCAGGGCCATATTGCGAGTATGTGCCAGGGTGTATCGTCGCGGACATAAAGGACCGTCTGGGACAAGGGATCGGGGCAACAAATTCGCATAAATAGCCCTCACGTGGCCAACGTACCCCCCCCCTTCCCCCTTCGCGCACAAAAGCCCATTTTCCGCGGCGCGGGTGAATGGGGGGATCGGAGAGGGGAGGGCAAGGTCGACTTTCGATTTTATGGCCCCGAAACGATAGGGCCACAGATGGTCGGGCATTTGGATGCCGATTAGAGTACGATGCAGCTGTTCCTTGCAATTATCTATCATAAGGGCCGACGCGCTTCAAAAAACGCGATAATATGCGAAAAAAACCCGGGTTAAGACGGTCGTTAAATGATGGAAAAGCAGCCCAAAGAAAGCTAGATAATTTTAAACCACTTTCAGCATTTATTAAAGCCATCCACACACGAAAATCCCCCGACGTGCATTGCCCCTCAAAGGTTCCCACACCGGATTTGCATCTCTTCCCTGAGCTCCCCACGTCGGGGTCCCTCCTTTTTGTTCAGGCCCCAAAGTGGAGGAGGTGCTGCTCACTTTAAGTAGAGTACAGAAAATGAATAGTCGACCAATATTCCGGGGAAAGGGAAACCATATGATCGGTGGTGGGGGTATAAAGATAAGGGTTGGTTGGGTGTCGCGTTTTTTTGGGGGGAGGTCTTCAGAATTTTTGGGGGGAATGGTGATAAGCAGGGGGATGTCGACAGGCCGTCTGGCACAAGATTGCACCGTGGAGAGATAAATTCTGGAGGAATTGGAGGGGGAAGTGTAAAGGTAAAAAAGTCAGATGGTCAGCTGGTAACCTGGCAAGCAGTCGGACAGATATACATGCTAAAAACGATGATACGACATGTATTAAATTTTTTATTAGTTTCAGCATGTTCTTTGTCAGGAAATAATTAGCATACGCCGAAAATCAGCGAGAAAAATTTGCTCATATTTTTTATGAAAGGGATTTATGGAGATCTAGTCGAAAAATAGGTGCAGAAGGGGCCAGTTTTTAGCCCTATTAAACTTCTAATGGTGTATTACAGCCAATACTAATATAGTAACCAGACTGTGCTCGAATCGCAAGGGGATATTGTCTTTGGGATGGGCTAAGAGGATGGGATGGCCTGTTGGCGGCTCTTGTACGGTCTCCCTATGCAAATATATTTCGCCCCGTAGTGGTGGAGGGTCGAAGATCTCGTCCGTTGCGGCTTCTCACACAGCCCAGTCTATATTTTGCGGTGGATCGCAATTTTGGAACGACAAAACTGCCCCTGCCTGGGGGGATGCCCCAGTTCCATTGGCATTGGGAAAATAAAGGGGGATGGAATGGATGAATCACTAAGAACACTTTTAAAAAGGTTAGATAGGGAAGAGCTTAAAAATACCTCATTCGAAATTTAATGGGTTCTGATGAGCGCCTAAGTGTAAATCACTTAAAAATCTTATTATGACGTAAAAAAATCTGAAATTACAGTAAAATCCTGCAGCGAATTTGAGTTCTTTTAAACGAGAGTGCAAGATTGGGGAGACTGGGGTGCGCCGGAGCAAATTTAAATATTTTTAGGGTGGCCCCGGCTATTTTCCGAATCGGCGACGAGGTGAGCCCGAAAACAGCCCACTTCTGCCATGGGTGCATTATGTCTGGAGTCTTTAGAGGATTTGGATTTTGGCATTGGGCAAAAATGGAATCGGGAATTTAAAAAATTTCGGCAAAAATCCAAATTTTTTAAGCAATTTTTCCGAGTCCTATAGAATCTTCAGCGGATATCGCCTTTTTTGCCAAAGAGCAACACCGTGGTGCTGGAAAACGTGGGACAAAGTGCCGACGGGAAGGTCGGAGAACACGGGTGCTCCCGAGCCCGAAAGGAGTCGCATTACACCTTCGCCTCAAACGGGGAATGGGGAGGACCATCCGGGGACGGGCCACCAGCCTGCCACCCCAAACAGAAAAACCGACGATCGAGAAGCCCACCCGAAAAAACACACTGAGGACAAATGCCCAGGAACTACACCACTGTACTCTGTCCTACTTCCCCCTTTTCTAGTCCTGAAAAAGTAAGAATCAACCAGTATTGCCGAAAATATGGAATCTTGGGGGCCCAAGGGCAACACTACTTGGCCGGGCGATTTGGTGTCGAGTTGGCCCTTATTCGATTTTCCGCTTCGAATCATCTCCCCCCACTAGCCCCCGGGATACTAACAACCAAAGCAGCCCAGCAAAAAGCTTCAACACCATTTCGGCGTTTACGAGGGTAGGGTAAGGGCATTTTTCAAGCTGTCCAAAAGTCTACTACAGTACACCTGGTCATCCAGAACTCGGGTTTTTTCGCAAAGTGTTTTCCTAGGTCCTTTAAACAAAGCAAATTTCTAGAACCATGTTTAGTAGCTGGCCTAAGGAATTCATTTCATGAATTTGGCGCTATTCGCCGAAATGGGCCGGCCGAAATTTGATACCCTCTAGTGAGATGGCTTGACTAACCACTTTGCGTGGCTGCAAACCGACCAGTGGGCTACAATTTTCGAGGAGTAGGAGGAGAAGGAAATGACTTCCTCAAAAAAGAATCCAAAATCAGCGACCAATCACTCATATCAGCTCGTTTAGTTCTGTCCCCCCAGGTTTCGGGGCAAAATAAACAAAGGAGAAGGGGAGGAAGACCAGAAATAGAGCGGTCTCCGGTTTCGGCAAAAAAAAAACAGCAGAACGAACCTGTGATGAGAAGAGCCAGGAATTTGATCCGAGTGGTGATGATGAGGTATCACGGTTTTGTATCGAAGCTCCTAGGCCGCCGAAGCCTCCCGACGAATCACTAAACGCGGAATGGGAGGTTTAAGGTCTGGTAAGGTAGGTATTTTACCTGCTTTCGAAACCGAAGAGACTCCCATTGAGGCCCCCTAAGGAATCGAGCATCGTGGCCGAGTGTTGAAGGCTGCCGACTGTCGCCCAGAATACCTGGGGTTCGCGCCGGGCTCGTTGTTCGGGGTTCGCTCTGGAATTATAGGTTTTAGAAGTTCTTAGTAGGTCAACTGGCCAGGAGATAACAGAAAACCATCATTTGAAACATCGTTTTTGCAAGACGCAATTTTAAAAGCTATTTTTCAGGTTACGCCTTGTTATTAGCACCGGATATTGAAATTATAGTTATGAACTTAAATCTAATCTAACAAATTATATTATAGATAGTTACGAATCTTTAGTAACCCTCTTCCGCTAATCGCCACCGATCGTTTCTCAGATCAATATCTCCAGCGATGTCACGAGTTAAAATGCGTGCCCGACCCCCGGGTGAAGATGGACAGTGTGGCAGAACAGAACAAGAAAAAACGTTTCTCCTTTCGGGACCTCGAGAATTTTGGGGGGGAATTTTCGGTTGGAAATGGGGGAGACCGAGGGGGGGGAAGGAGGGGGAGGGGGAGCTCCCGGGAGCAGCTGACTGCGTCCATTCCCGCCCGGGTGCCAGACTCAAAAATCGCTGCTCCGTCTGGGGGGTTGCCCGGTGGTATCTATGATTTTTGAGGGTGCAGCGTGGAAATGGGAGCTAGGGTTAATTGGACCCAAAGTTATCTTCATATAAGTTTAATACAAAAAACATCAAAAGTCGCCAGCTTTGGAAAGTTAAAAAAATCTATATTTGGCGAATTTTTAGCGGATTTAAGTCCAGATTCAGTCCCAAATGACATAATATAGACATGAACAAACAAACAAGATAGTTGATTGGAGCCCAGAGAAAGGAAGAGAAGGCCCTGGGTCCCCCCCACAACGACCGGTCCACACAACTTTTGCCTGTTTGACCTGGGATCAGCCGTGGCTGTCTGGCGGCTTCCGATCAACGTCTTCTCGACTTGCCATAACCTTTACAGTTTTCAGACATGATCTGTTAAGTATGTACTTTGATAAAAGCTAGAAAACCTAGAAAATCTTCGATTCAGAAACCCGGAGCGAGTGGAGAAGTAAGTGAGAAACTTTCCCCACACATTGGACCCTTCACGTCTCTCCCGGAGCGATTGGCCAACTTTTGAGAGCCATCTCCCGAGAACTGTGAGCATTGTGAGGGGGTGGAAAGGGAGGTAAAAGAATATGAAAAAGAGAGAAAGAAGGGTTAGGGAGGAAAGTGAGGAATGGGCCTGGCACAAAGCCGTCCGTACTCTCTCCCGCTCTCTTTTTCTCACTTCTAACCTGGCAATGCCAGAGAAATCGGAGATGCCTCTACAAAAGCATCACTTTTCTTTTCCTTTCGAGAGTTTTCTATCCTGTTGCGCGGATGGGGTAGTTTTTTCTCGTTTTGAGGGAATGACCGGAAAAGGAAAGGAGAGCAGAATGGAAAAAACTGACTAATTCAGTAATGTGTAGAAGAGTCACAGTATCCTTGGCTATAGTAATTTCTACCCGTAAAGGTACCCCACTTTAAAATAAAGAATTCCCGATCGGCCAGCTGTCTGTTGACTGTTTCAAGGTCGCTACGCATCCGCTACCCGCCATGTCCGGCTACCGAAAATATTAGTGCTAACCGGGTAGAGGGGGGCACAGCACATGGGTCGTCCGGGGGGGCAAAAGTGAAAGTGTTTTCCGAGGGAAGGGGAGAAGGATTGGCAGGGCAGCATACAGGGGTCATCCTCAGCCCTTTCTACCGATCTTCGCCATACAGTCTCGACTGTAGAAAAAAAGGGAGAGAGAGGGTTTGAAGGAAAGTGGTTATGGAAAGGCGATCCGATCGTGAGATCGGAACGTTAAAACATGTAAAGAGAGAGCTCAAGAAAGTAGAAAGGAAGAGAGATGCGTAATCAAGGAGCGATATGCAAACGTAAATAGGTGCTCCTCGCTATAAACCTGGGCGAACCCGGAACGTCCGCTCTCACGCCATGTAGAATTTTAGCTTCCATAAACCAAATGATTGATTAAAATCCATCAAAAGCAAAATGGACTAAAAAAAAGACCGACAGAAGAAAAATAGGACAAAAATCTTTACATAGTAGTGCTTCGGAATCAAAAAGCGGCTTCGGCTTAAAGCCTTAATAAAAATAAAAACAGTTTTTGCGTTGCAGACAATAGTTGAATAGATGGTAGACACATTGTATAACGGCCGAGGAATGAAAAGAGAGTAAAAGAGAGACTGGAGGGCCCTCGACAGTTCAGCCATGGCACTGTGGGTGGTGGTGGTTGGGGGGAGGAGGGGACCCGGGGCCAGATGAAAGGGTCGCGACCCCGGGACCTCCACCGATCAAGACCGGTATTCTTTTCTGGCAACTGGCAACCACAGAGATGCTAGGTGGGTGGGCTGCTGCTGAAGAACAGTCAACCCATGGCAGGGCGGGGGAGGAGGAGGACAAGCAACGCTTTTGTCAAAAAAATCGCCGGCTGAACTGTCGGGCGGCCGGGATTGCAACCAGAATTCATTTGAACAGGGGGTAAAGGATGATAAGTACGGTGGTGTGAATGAGGAGAAAATAGAAACCAGGTTTTTCAAGTCCAACGGGATCTTAGTTATGGAGTGATTGCACTGAAGATGCATTTAAGGAGTAGAAGAACGAGATTTGGGCTTAAAATTTAAATGTTGCGATATTTTAAGTGGGATAGACTCGATAAAAAATATCGTTATAGCGCCGATTCATGGAGGGGAACGTAGACACCTATGGGAATCCGCGTATCTTTGGCACAATTTTGCGTAATTAGTTATCTCCGTAGCCTTACGTACGACTTCATAGTGGGTACTCAACGAGAACAGAACGATGTTAAAAGACCACCAAGAGTACGATTTTTAAGGACCGTCGTTACTGTAGAATTTTCGAAAGGATCTGTGAGTGCTGCGAACTGAGGTTTAAATTAGTTGAGGGTAGCGACTTTCGGGGCAGAACCGGACTCACTGGACAATAGACAAATCTACGCATCAACTATTTACACAAAATTGTCGAAAAATACGTGGATGTCCTTAGATATCCACGTTAAATTAAAATAATTAAAGCTAAACCGCATTCTTCTAAAGGGGTCAGGAAGCCACGATTGCAAATGACGGTCGATCCCCCCCGTAGGAGAGGTTTGGGGAGGAGGCCTTTTCCATTCGCGTTCCCACCCCCTTTAAAGTCGTGGGACATCATCGCTAATCAGAAACAACGAAAAATGATAGACAGGGCGCGAAAGAGGGTAACAGTGCAATGGAACAGGTCCCCGTCCGTCTGGCACCATCACCACTACCAGCAGAGGGGCCGGGACGCGCGAGGCGTGCCACAATGGCAAATATGAAGGGGGGGGGGGTCGGGATGGGGGGGGGGGAGGTGGAAGAACGGCGTTCTGCTTCTCCCCCTACCACCTCTCCTTCCCTCCTTTCCTTTCCTTTCCCACCCTCTTTCTCATGCCACACATCCAGAAGGGCACATTGTCACAATTTGCCTAGAATCCCACCCCACAACCTTCAACCCCGGCTGGAAATAGCAAATCTTTGACTCAGCGGGCCCCCTTCTTCCAAACATTTCAGCGCAAATATGACCGGCGCTAATATTTGCGCGCTCACACACAAAAAGTCGGGTTTTTGGGACGGTAGGGGGGTTGAACAAAAAACCAGGAGATCGGGTAAATACGGTGGACTAGTTAATGAAAATTGGATGAAAGAGAAAGAGGAGAGGTGAAATGTGAAAGGTAAAATCTCGAGTTCAGGGTTTCCTGTTAAAATTTGCAGTAACGGAGGAACAAGAGAAATTCGGATGAAGATGTCTATCTAGTACAATTCTATTTTTCGGCTACATTTAATTTAAAGTTTCATGAAAATTTTGAAGGTTGGGAAGGCAGGGAAACAATTAGCATAGACGTAAACAAGCACTGAAACCCTTATATCTCACTCGCTTTAAAAAAACCGCTAGCCAAAATAGAAGCAACAAGGACCTACAGTAATGCAGTTGCCCAACTTGACAGTTAACGATCAATATTTCTACTGTATCTGCCAGAACAGAGAGATGGGACGACAGTCTCGAAGTGTTCACTCCCGAACCACGAAAAAATACACAAACCACAGCGCCCCAGCCATTCCCCCCGCCGCGCGAGACGAAAGCCACAGGAACATGGGTGCACAACAGAAAAGTTTATCATTTCTCCTCCCGGCGGCCTCTCGACCGGAGGCGGGTATACCGGAATTGAGGAGAAGGAGAGGGAGTACAAACAATTGTTCCACAGACCCCTTCCGCCTCCTCCTCCTCATTCACCTTCCACCTCAATCGATGGCAACAATCGGACAATGGTGTTTGGGAGTGGGGGGAGGAGGAGGGGCTTCTCATTCTCTTCATGCCCTCCTCATGGCGGGGAACGGCAACCATCCGCCCTGGGGGGAGAATGACCTGCGAGAGGTCATACGAGAGAACAACTGGGGTGGGAGAGGAGTGAGCAAGAGCTTCACGTCCAGGAGACAACCGTGCCAATGACCTCAACTAGACGTTGTGGGGGGAAGCCATCTGGGCGAGCTGTGCGGTAGGCTGGAGAGAGAGGGAGAGAGAGAAAGAAAGAAAGAGAGCAGCAGTTGATAATCAGCTGGTGATGGATATGTCGAAGTGATTTTAAAGGGATTGTGAAGTCAGCTTCTGGCTTCAAGCCGCACTGGCCTGAATTTTGGGGCTGACCAAGGACTACGGTAATACGGTAGGATGAAGGATTCTACAGCACCAGGCCTCAATGCCTCGTTAAAAATGGACAAATCCAAACCAATTCTCGCAACCAGTAAAAACCATCAAACAAGGCCCATTTTAGGCCTCGTCTCGCGCGAAAAAGGTAATTCAGCGACGGCATGAGGGCGCGCGCAGCCCCCCTCGCCGACCTTTTTTCAGGGGCGCGGGAATTCGAAAGGGAAAAGAAGAGGGAGAAAACGAGCACGAGAGTGCGGGGATTTCCTTTTCTCCCCTCTGTTTCGCCCGTCGAGTGACCGAGCTCAA